GTGTATGGAAACTTTGTTTAGTGGCATCCTTCCACCCTCGAAATCGCAGGAAATGCCATTTCCGCGGTTCTAGATTTCAAATTTTCTCGGGGGGGCATGCCCCCGAACCCCTCTAGGAAGGTCCGCCTTCGGCGGGACGATTTTTTTCAGCCAGCTACGCCACTGAATGTAGTGTTACAACAAAGGTTAAGACGCTTTCAGTTAAGACCATTTGATGTCGGTGGTGATGGTGACTGTTTCTTTCGAGCTGTGTCACATCAATTATATGCTAACCCTGAACGACACTTTGAAGTTAGAGCGGCTGGTATTGCATATATGAGAGATAATCCTGAGAGATTCATTGAAAGTAATACTGAAATCTCTTGGTTAGAATACCTTAATAATATGTCTATGCAAGGGACATGGGGCGACGCTATGATAATACAAGCTGTGGCTGATCAGCTTAAGTTAAAAATTACTATTGCAGAAACACATGAAGGGTTTCGTGAGTACAGTATAATACAACCTGTATCATCAACACAGCAACTAACGCATGTCTATTTGGGTCATATAGATGAGTATCACTATGTATCAACATTACCGTGTACTTCAATGTCAGATTGTGTTGAGATATATCCTGAACAGTCAACCCAGAGCTCTCAGCCTAAGCAAACAAGAACACAGTATATGAACAAACTCATGAAACAAAAACGAGCTAATGAGACACAGAGCCCTGAGGCTAAGGAAAAGAGAAGAGTTTATGCAAAGGAATATAGGAAACGTAAACGGGCCAGTGAGAGTTCCCAGTCCTCGACACTGAGCATTGAGGCTAAGCAAAAGAAAAGACTGTACGCAAAGGCATATAGGAAACGTAAACAGGTCAGTGAGAGTTCCAAGCCCTCAACACTGAGCACTGAGGCTAAGCAAAAGAAAAGACTGTATGCAAAGGAATATAGGAAATGTAAACAGGTCAGCGAGAGTTCTCAACACTGAGCATTGAGGCTAAGCAAAAGAAAAGACTGCACGCAAAGGATTATAGGAAACAAAAACGTTGTGAGATTGAATCACTACAAAGTTTAATATCCCAATTTCATGATGTTGTCTCACAAGGTCCTCTTTATATTTGCACTTGTTGTGACCAATTATGGTACAAGCATAGTGTCATTCCAGTCACGACACTTAAAGCAAATAATCCTGATGTTCAAAAAAGATTGTTAAATAGAAAAAGCGTTAATAATGTGGAGTGGTTGTGTAAAACCTGTAATAAGCATTTAAAAAACAATAAGGTGCCTCCTTGTGCTGCCATAAATGGGCTGCAGTTTCCAGAAAAACCTTCGTTTTTCGATCTAAATGAATTAGAGTGTAGATTGCTTGCTCCAAGACTTGCATTTCAAAAATTAATGCAAGCTCCTAGAGGTAGACAACTAAAAATAAATGGAAACATTGTTAATGTTCCAGCAGATGTTGTTAATACTGTTAACATGTTGCCAAGGTTTCCAAATGAGACCAGCACAATTAAAGTTAACCTTAAGAGAAGATTGCAATACAAAAGTTCAGCTTTATCACTAAATGTCAGACCAAATAAAGTAGCAGAAGCTGCCAAATGGCTTGTAAATAATGGTAACCTTTATAAAGATGAAGGTATAACTTTCAATGACACTTGGCTTCAAGATAATTCAAATACTCAAATGCTATTTGATGATAGTGACAATGATCAAACCTCAGAGGGTTTAGAAAATGTTGTGGACTGTAATGTAGAAAGCTTGAATTGTGATACAGAATGTAAAACCCAGCAATCATTAGCATGTGATGATGATGAACACTGGAGTGAAGATGAGGCAGAAATACCTGCTGGAATCACTGACACTATGACCGAAGGGCTGCAATGTGTGTGGAAAATATTTTCTTTAAAACAAAGAAATTGCAAATGAAGATTTTGCTTGGGCAATCACAAGTTGCATTGAGAAAATGTCAACAAAATAGTAACACAATCACTGCCGGTCAACTAAAACAACCGGGTGCATTAGATAACATGATTCATCACGATCAAGGATTTAAATTTCTTAGAGCTGTAAGGGGTTCACCTCCATATTTTGAAAAAGCTAAAAAGGATATATTTGCAATGATCAGGCAGCTAGGATCTGCTTCATTATTTTGTAGTTTTTCTTCAGCGGAAACACAATGGACTCATTTACTGAGAATACTTGGTAAACTTGTTAATAACAAAACATACACTGACACTGAACTTGAGAACCTCAATTGGGAAGAGAAAAGTAGGTTAATTCAAAGTGATCCTATGACATGTGCCAGGCATTTTGATCATCAAGTACACAAGTTTTTTTGCAAAACTTTCTTTTAATTAAGTAGTGCTGCACCTCTAGGAAAAATTGTAGATTGGTTCAATAGGTGAATATCAACAAAGAGGATCACCTCATATTCACATGTTAATATGGCTAGAAAAAATGCTCCTATGTTCGGAGAAGACTCTGACTGTGATGTTGTTTCATTCATTGATAAGATATCACATGTGAAAAGCCAGCTGAGAATCCAGATTTACTTGCACTTGTAAACAGGCAAGTTCATCGCCATTCTCACACATGTCGAAAGAAATCCAAAAGTGTGTATCGTTTTAATTATCCACAGCCACCTATGAGGTCAAACAAAATTCTATATCCATTAGATATTGATATGGATGATAATGAAGTTGATCAACATAAAGATACTGGAAAAGAAAGAGGGTGAGGACATTACATTTGACCAGTTGCTTGTAAATCTTAAACTGACAGAACAACAAAACTATTTGCTAGCTGTTCAATCTAGTCTCAAGACCCCAACTATATTCTTAAAAAGGAAACCAAATGAACTAAGGATCAATAATTATAATGCTGCATGTCTCAGTGCATGGCGTGCAAATATGGATATTCAGTTTGTACTAAATATATATGCATGTGCAATATACATTGTATCATATATATCCAAGGCTCCAAAAGGCATGAGTGAGCTATTGAGAACAGCTTGTGAAGAAGCAAAAAAGGGAAACTCCAGTATTAAACAACAAGTGAGAGATATTGGAAATAAGTTTTTGACCAAGGTTGAGATAAGTGCGCAAGAAGCAGTCTATATAGTACTTCAACTTCCAATGAGGAAATCTTCTCGTCAAGTAGTATTTATAAATACTTCACCCCCTGAGGATAGAGTTCAGTTACTGAAACCATTGCAAGAAATTAGTGATTTGGAAGATGATTCTGATGAAATTTATGCATCTGGTCTAATAAAGCGTTACACAAAACGACCAGCCAAACTTGAAAATGTGTCCCTTGCAGATTGGGCTGCATGGTACGACACCTCTGGGAAGCCATATATCAAACCATCACGTGAATTCGATATTGATAATTATCCACTTGAGACAAACTTGAGTGTTAATAATGAGGAAGAAGAAAGCAAACAAAAGAATAAAAAAAGATCTAAAGCCAGAATTATTCGAAGTGTCTGTTTTAACAAGGAAGTTGATTCTGAAAAGCATTACCGTGAACTAATCATGTTATTCACTTCATGGAGGGATGAAATAACTGATTTATTAGGAAATTGTGCTTCTTACCAAGAACACTATTTTCAAGTTAAAAATACAATAGATGAGCAAATGAAATGTTATGTACAGTGAAGACCTGAATGCGATTCAAGACCAGCTTAATAATGTGGAAGATAGCGATGAAAACTATGACCTGATTGCCCCAGGAACACAAAACATTGAGCGTCGAGATGGAGATGAAGGTGCCCAAGATCTTCATCCAGAATTCAATGAAACCTATGACCTATCTGGTGATCTTGGAATTCCTTCAGCTGCATCTAATACTGATCAGCAGATATTACATGAAGAACAGGATGATGTTTACAGAGGAATGGTACAAAAATTAAACAGAGAACAAAAATAATTTTTCTTCCATGTTTTACATCTTATTAAAACTTCTGACAATCCATTCTACTGTTTTCTTAGTGGAGGGGCAGGAGTTAGCAAGTCACATCTCACTAAGTGTCTTTATCAAGCAGCATTAAAGTACTATAATACTAGAGCAGGTGATGATTTCCATCAAGTGAAAATATTAATGCTTGCACCAACTGGTAAAGCAGCTTACAATATCAAAGGTAACACAATACATAGTGCACTTTCAATACCTGCATGTCAATCTTTAAATAATTGCAAACATCTGGATTCAAGCAGGTTAAACACCTTACGGTGACAACTTGGTGGTTTAAAACTAATATTTTTAGATGAGATCTCAATGGTTGGCAGTACAATGTTCAATGTTCAAATAAATAATAGACTGAAAGATATTAAAGGATGTAAAGAAGATTTTGGTGGTGTAAGCATTGTTGTTATCGGTGATTTATTTCAGCTGGAACCTGTAATTCAGGATATGCAGTTCTTGCTCCTAATAAATGGCAAGATAACTTCAATATATTTGAATTGGAAGAAATTATGCGCCAAAGGGAGAGCAAAGTGTTTGCTGAAATATTAAACAGACTTAGGGAAGGAAAACATACTAAGGATGATATTTTGAAACTAAAAGAAAGATTAATAAAAGAAAATAGCATCCAAGATCCCATGGATGTGCCTCACTTGTTCATCCAAAATCAGAAGGTAAATGATTTCAATGAAAGAGTGCATAACGCAGCAACTGGTGAAAAGTTTTCAATCAAAGCAATAGACAGTGTTATAGGAGCTAACTCTGCTCAACTTCGAGATAAAATTTTGAGTCAAATACCAAATGATCCTAGGACAACTAAGCAAGTTGCTTCAAACCTTCAATTGTCAGTGGGGGAAAGAACTGAGATAGCATTGAATGTACGTACGTACTGATGATGGCATGTCTAATGGTGCTGGTAATGTTGTTAAAAAGATACAATTGAATCAAATGGATAAACCTTCCGGTATAATATGGGTCCAATTTGACCATTCAGATGTTGGAGAGAAGACCAGACATGAAAATAGACATCTTTATGTCCAAGCTATTGAGTCCACATGGACTCCAATAAAGCCAATCACAACTCAGTTTGCTGTGGGTAGAAACCAAACTTCACAAGTTGTTAGAAAACAGTTTCCACTTAGACCCGCTGCGGCTAAGACAATTCACCGTTCACAAGGTGACACTGAACAAAAAAGTGTTGTAAATTTCAACACTAGAAGATCAATACCACATATACATTATGTTGGTTTGCGCAGGGTAACAGCAATTGAAGGTTTATTTATCACTGACCCATGTGAAGATAAAATAGCTGTCAATCCTCATGTAGCAGCTGAAATGGAACATTTGAGAAATGAACGTGTACTAAAACTAAGTGTCACTCCTATTTATAAGACAGACCAAGTCTCATTCAAACTGTGCTATCTAAATGTACGGTCGTTGCATAAACACATTGATGATATTAATTCGGCATGATTTTAATTTTGCTAATACAGACATCAATATTTTTTCTGAAACTCGATGTATGCTCTCGGATGATGCCAGTATGTATGATATTGATTGTTACACCTTGTTCAGAAATGATGGTCACTCTTTGACTACAAGACCCTTTGGTGGCATGGCAGTGTTTAGCAGAGTTGAATTCTTACCTGGATATCCATGTTGTTATAATATCAATGACATTGAAATAACCATTATGAAAGCAATGATTCTTCCAGATGTTACTATAATTGGTATATATCGATCACCCAGAATTCCAGTGCAACAATTGTGTGCAGCATTAGATGAGGTTTTGAGGTTTTGTACTTCTCAATTTAACATTTTCATAGGTGATTTTAATATCAATTGGTTGGATGAAGCCAGTAGAAGGCCTTTAGATAGATTTTGTATCAATGATCATAACTATATGCAATTGGTGTCTAATCTCACTACAGACAATCGGACATTAATAGATCATATTTATGTGTGAACTATCACACATTTTAGAAACTTATTTCTCAGATCATAAAGCAATCTGTGCCCTAATTAATTGTTTTCATTAATTGAAGCAAACTTAGAAATGTTATGATAGAAATATTTCTATATTGGGACAAGAGTCACTGGACACAATTCACTTAAATACTTACACATTTTGGTTTTATACACATTAGAGTTAAACAAAATTTACTAATTTTCAAATGCTAATAACAGAATCACCAGGTAAGCAAGTTTTATTTTCACCTCCCTCTCCCACCCACCCTCCATTTTGCTTTCTAACATAAATGTTTTTGTTTTTAGAGATTAATACAACAATGGCCAATAAATGTACTGGATATATTTGTTGGATAATTCCATCAGAACAACCTACTTGCAAGACAATCTCACCAAAATTCATTAGTATATATGGCTATACGAAAATAACTTAACAACTACAATAATTATATGGATGGATCTGATCAATGGCATACAATATACAAAACCAAACTTGTACTCAAATAGATTTTCTCTCAAAACACAAATTGCTTTTGTGTGGATATGCTGTGTTAAAATTATACTGAACAGTGTGCTATATCATTAACTGTGCACAGGACTGGAATGGAATTATACACTTCACTCGTGACCTTCAAAACATTCTCTACTGATCAGTGGTTTTCCATGTTCCTCAAATAGTTTGTGTATGTTACTCAACAGTTAACATTGGCAAGTGTAATTAACAAGTGACAGGACTTTTGCTTCATATGATTACAATAAAGTTTTGGAAATTCTATGTGTATGGATTGACAAGTGACAACATCTGCTATCCTGACTATATGGCATCTAAAATGTGTTGTATATTGACATTATATGGATAATAAAGAAGATTGTCAAGCTATCTCTGTGACATCACAACTTAGTTGACCTAAGGAAACCTTTGTTACAGTTATGGAAACACCACTGCAAGTGGAATTTATAGCAGCTGTTTTATTCACTATGAAAACCAGATCAATACTCACACAGATTCAATACTAGCATCTAACATTAATTAAACATCTATTTTCAATTGAAGACCTTCAGAAACTGTACAGTCTATAATATATACTATATAATATATACTTGTGATATAAATTTAAAAATATTTTATTTTATGCTAGCTATAGTGTAATATTGTGTGCATGAAAGTTTTATTTTCTGACTGCATAATTATCCGTTACAATCATAATCACATTACAAAATTAGTTACATTTGATTTTCCTCGGTCGGGTGGGGGTGGAGGTGGGGGTGGGAGCAGTTGCTTCTGCTTGTTTGACTTTAACATCTTATTTGCTATTGTAATTATAATAAGTGATGAAATATTTCAATTGCCCCATGTCATCTTCATTATTCAGTTCCTTTCAAAAAAATACAAAATGTGAATCATTGTTCATGTGAATCCAGTTTTTCGCAGATACATGTACGCCTAGCGTACCTATTTTTTAAGAATATTCTTACAAATGAAAAATCGCCTAAAAATATCACTTTTAATTACAAAATTATTAATTTCCCAACATATATATGCTAGGTATGTTATTATACGTAATATAACCCTCAATTTAAGGTAAAATTCAATCACAAACGCTTGGCAAAATGTTTTAAAGTCACTAGTGTTCTTTATGAAACTAAACTGCCTTTTAAAATGGCTTTATCGATAAACTTTGAGTTTGCAATAAAATAATTTCAAATTCTCGCTTGCAAATAACTTTGCTTTCTTTTTTATTTAAAAAATTCAATATCATAAAAAAGGGAATCAATATTAATACACTGAAATTATATGCTGTCTTGTTTAGTTGTTTCATATACGCAAAGGCCGTCAGGTTTTAAAGCCATTATAAAATCAATATTTAAAACAAACTTACCTTCGTTAACGTCGGCTCCCTTCTTTTAGCCGATTCTTTCGCAGTTTCTTTCTGAGAGAGCTTTTGAAATTTACAAAATCTTGCAATAATTCGAGCAAAAATGAAATATATTTGCAAGAAATTTATCAATCATCAAATCAAGAAATGTTCGCTGGCCTTTGCTATTTCGCTGTCGTCATGCAGTCGTTATAATGCAAACTTTAAATTGGACCAATCAGTGTCCACTATTCATGACAGTCCGCCATATTTTTGAGATCAGTGAGGATGACCATCCACCCAACACCCCAACATCGTTGGTGACCCACGCCCGCGATAATTGATGAACTTTAGACTTCGCTAATGCTTTCGTTTCCCCGGGTGTAAATAGCCGGGGGGGGATTAATACCCTCGCACGGCGCCGTCTGCTTGGGGACTAATTTGCAGAACTGAAACATTTATAAGGGGCAGCGGGAACCTCAAAGGATACCGTACCCTACGAATATAAGCAGCTCGGCTTGGATATAAGTCACCAGCCATAAGCGGATAAGCCCATGGGCTTAATTATTATTATTATATAACGCAGCGATCGGCATTCTAATAGCTCAGACGAGTGACGATAATAATAATCATAATAATAATAATAGTTTATTTATCTATCTTACGTGTAAAAATACAACGAATTTACAGTTAGTAAAATGCAAGTAATAATCTAGGAGTTATATGTACAGATAAAAATTTTAGGAATAGCTACAAAAATATTGTCTATAATAGCGAGTTTGTTCTGGGAATAAACGATGGTTCATGCCTTTTAATATATGAGAAGAATAAATTATTGTGGAAGAGTTTTTGGTGTTCTTCAGTCATACGTGTTCGTCACTATGTCAGGTATATATTTCCTGCATGGATGCTTTTCATCATTAATGATTTTCTTGTATTCGCGAATGGCAAGATTATCCCAACGTTGCTCTAGAGACTGAATTGAATAAGAAGGTACCCCAAGAATTTCAGACTTCTAGTCAAGATACTCTCCAGCTCGTCTGTAAGATACTGTGGCAGGCCACCCCATATCGGGACGCGTATTCCAGAACCGGTCTTAATTTGGTTTCATAGCATGTTAAACCCACTTTGGTCGGTAGATTTGCTCGACGACACTCCCGTAGGTAGAATAAGCGTTTGTTTGCTTTCTTGTAATTTCTTCAATGTGGGTGTTCCATTTAAGGATATTATTAATCCAAAAGCAAAGACCTAGCAGCTTGAACAAGCTCACTCTTTCAATTGTATCATTGCCAATCATAAGTGACGGTGGTTCCGGAATTGCATCTTTAAAGCAGGTCCACATGTCTTTCGGCTTTTTCGCGTTAAGTTTCATCTTGTTTCTAAGTGCCCAGTCATTCATTGCATCAAGCACCTCTTGCATGTTACTAGTAGAACCATATGGAATCACTTCAACAATTTCACTTGAGTGCAGTCATCGTATATTTGTGCGTATTGATGCTCAGATAGGCTAATTGGGAATGCAGTCTTGGAGGTCATCTACATGAGCATTGAATAATGTTGGTGATATAACAGACCCCAGGGGACTCCGGAAGGGCAAGGCCTTATAGATGACAGAGCACCTCCTTATTTTACTTGCTGACTCCTCCCTTCTAGAAAGCTCCGTGTCCATAGGGCGGTGGAGTCAGCAGAGTCTTTGACTTTGAGCAGCAAGAAAAGGAGGTCGAATGATCAAGAAGGGAGTGATGTTGATGCCCTGATCGACGACCATCCTTCAGAGCAAGGGACCGAATCAGCTGAAACTAAAGATGGCGACGAGGAAGATGCATTCCTCACAACGCTAGCCCTTGAGTATTCGGCTGACGATAAAACAAGTGGTCCTGTCTCAACTCAGCTGGCTGATATCGTCAATAGGAGATGGTCGTCAAAATTATCGGACGACAAATTCAAAGAGAAAATAGCGAAATATGACCGACCAGAGAACTGCGAACGATTGTTTGCCCGCAAGGTAAATCCCGAAATTTGGTCCCGAATATCAAACATGGGCCAACGACAGGACCTTAAACTTGTCGCTGTCCAAAAAACCTTGGCGGCAGTTAGCACAGCTCTCACACAGTCTGCTCAACTGCTTATGAATGCCCGCCAAACTGGCGGCGGATGCCCTTGCTCTCCTGGAGCAAGTGGATGCCCTTGCTCTCCTGGGGCATTCAAATTATGACCTTTCACTCCGTCGTCGCGAAACGATGAAACCCAGCTTGAATAAAGAGTATGCTTCATTGTGCTCTTCCTAGCCTGCGTGGCAGGCGGTATTTCTACAGGCAGCGAAAATTAGGGAGTCAAAGGAAATACCGTCTGCCGCAAAACTAGGGGTTTTTGAATTACCCGTCCGCTCGTGAACGGAAAAAACGGATTGGTTAGTATTTTTATGTAGTTGTCAATCAACGGCTAAATTCGGTTAAATGTTAATCATTAACCAAATGTTTTGACGTTTTGAAACTCTGCGTTTTGAAATTAGTTCACGTCAAGTCAGACCAGAAATGGAATACCATATATAATAAAAGAAGCAAATTTAAAGATACAAGCTGAAAAATAACACTCTAAGTAGTGTTTTTGATAGCGATTCGAACAAGAATATTTAACAAAGAAGATACGTACGCGTCCGAAGGGGCCGAAGTTATGATCGGCGAAAGGTATGGGCTGGTCTATATTTTCGTTCAGACAATTACATGCGTATTAATTTGATAATATACGATCTCGCTTGACTTTCAAAGGCCATAAATCACAATAATGTTGACATTTTACTAAAACTATCGATAGAAATAGGAGATATTTCTTCACTGAATCGAACGGTGGGATTTTCATATAGGCCAATCATGTTCTGATACTTGATAGATATACGAACCTCCAAAGTATAAACTAGGGGCCATTTGATGCACTAATTATCAAATAACAGTTAAACTCTTATATACCCGTTGAATATGTATAGTTGTAAACAAATAAAAACTATCGTTCTACAAGGTTCAAAACTTTCAGTTCGGTTGTTGACTGAGGATGAATCTATAGTATAGACTTGCATGCTTTGTATTTTGAGCTTATTAAACGACCGTTTTAAAGCAGCTAAACGGGCTTGGTTTATATTAACACATAAAATAATATAAAACATTTTCACGAGGACTTTAAAATTCAGTCGGGCGGTGATGAGAATCAAGGAATTTATTTTATGTTGGGCAGTTGGGACTTGGGAGCAACCAGGGAGTGGCTAATTTTGAATATTTACTTAATTAATGCATCTATAAATAGCTTTGATGCTTCAGAGGCGGAAGTTCATTTATACCCAGTTTTGCGGCAGGCGGTATTTCCTAAGTACCGCCTGCCATGCAGGCTATGCTAATGTAACGTCGATGTTGTTTGGCGATGAATTACAAAGCCAACTAAATGCAATTCGAGCGTCGAATCGAATTAAGCCCTACACTCACGTATTTCTCCGCCGCTGGCGAAAAATTTCGCCACCGAAAAAGTTCATTTGTTGTTCTTTCGCGCCGTCAACGAAAGGTCAAACAGAAGTTGAAAATTTTAAGCAACTGTAGCAGGAGAACAAATTTCTTCAGCGGCGAATGAATGTAAAAAAATTATTTCTTTGTCAAACTTTTCCCCAGCGGCGTCGAAATAACGGGCATAAGCCAAACGGCCACCCAGTCCACGGCTGGACATTTTGGCAGTCACAACAAATTGACTTTTCAGCGGCATCCAAGAAATGATCGTGAAAAGTCTTTTTTATCCAAAGGCCCCAACCCGCGTTGGTCGAACAACGGATTCCCCAGTCATCAGAAAAAGCGGGAAGGGGGCAACAAGTTCAACAAGAAGTGACTGCCATCGACAAGGATATAATAACACATCTATCTAAAGTTGAGGTAAACGAATTTCTAACGTTTTTACCGGTGTTGAAGGAGCATTTTAACATGCAAATAAGCCACTTTCGTGGTGGTCGTCATGCTCATTTTTATCATGAGTGGGAAAAAATTACTTCCGATCAAGAGATTTTAGATATAGTGAGCGACCAACGTATAGAATTCGACACCACGCCGCTTCAAAACTATCCAAGGTACGGAAGCCGAACAGGCTGTCATACGGGCTGATATTGGGAAACTACTTCACAAAGCTGTAATTGTTCGTGCACAACATGAACCTGGAGAATTCATATCTCCAATTTTTGTACGCCTCAAAAAGGACGGCACAAGTCGAATGATTTTAAATCTGAAAGATCTTAACCAGCATGTACGGTAGAATACCACCATTTTAAAATGGAAACACTCATTGATGCTTTCAGACTTATGACCCCTAATTGTTTTATGGCGTCAGTGGATCTTAAGGACGCGTATTATTCGGTCCCTATTGCCAAGCCACATCAAAAATATCTAAAATTTGCATGGGAAGGTTCACTATACGCATTTACATGCTTCCCAAACGGGCTTGCTAGTTGCCCACGGAAATTCACAAAACTTCTTAAACCAGTGTATGCAGTTTTGAGAAAACTGGGACACATTTCGTCCCCATACATTGATCATTCATATCTACAAGGGGATGACTATGTCAACTGTCTAGAAAATGTTATAGACACCGTCCGACTGTTATTCACACAATGGTTTGTTTTTCACCCTGATAAATCTGTGCTTATCCCAACACAGAGACTAATATTTTTGGAATTTATACTTGATTCAACTCTAATGAGAGTCTATATGACACCTGAGAAGGTAACTAAGGTCATTGAGATGTGCTCTAAACTATTAAAGAACACATCGCCGACCATCAGAGAGGTCTCCCAAGTCCTGGTATATATAATTTCTACTTTCCCAGGAGTCATGCTAGGGCCACTCTATTCTCGACACCTAGAAGAGTGAAATCGCAATCCCTTAAGGTCAACAAAGGCAATTTTGACTCTCTAATGACATTAAATGATGAGGCTAGAGAGGAGTTGACCTGGTGGATCAACTCTGCCCCAGACAGTTACAATGTTGTTAGCCATGGGCTACCAGCTATTGTATTAACCACAGATGCCTCTTCTACAGGTTGGGGTTGTACCCTGGGCGAAACTAGGACAGGGGGAAACTGGACCAAAGATGAGGCACAACATCATATAAACTACCTAGAGTTGTTAGCTGTCTTCTTGGCACTGAAAACCTTTTCAAACTCTTTAGCAGGAAAACATGTAAAAGTTATGATTGATAATATGACTGCACAATCTGATATTAATCACATGGGTACCAGTAAGTCAGATTTACGAAATGCACTTAGCAAATCTATGTGGCTCTGGTGTCGTGCAAGACATATTTGGTTTACAGGTGTCCACATTCCTGGGGTAGAAAATGTTGAAGCTGACCATCAGTCTAGAATCACCAACACTAGTGCTGAGTGGTCACTCAATAAACAGATATTTTATGATGCAATATCTAGATTAGGGGTAACACCCGATATAGATCTGTTTGCTTCAAGAATAAGTTACCAAATAGAACCATATGTGTCTTTCCATCCTGATCCAGGAGCTATAGCTGTAAATGCTTTCCATATATCATGGCAGAGGTATCAACCTTATATATTTCCACCGTTCTGTCTCATTTCTAGAATTTTACAGAAATTCCAGGAGGAACAGTGCACTGTTGTTGTAGTAATCCCAAGATGGCCAACTCAGACATGGTGGCCAAAAATAATGAGTCAACTAATAGCTCAACCAATACTATTACCGAAAACAAAGACGACACTGATCCTCCCGAGCAATCCGGAAGCAATACATCCACTGTATCCGCATCTAGAGCTAATAATCTGCCACTTGTCTGGAAATCCCTTGAAGAACAAGGCATTTCAGCAGGTGCTTCCAACATTATTGTCCAATCTTGGAGACAAGGTACTGCCAAACAATATAGATCTTACCTTCAGAAATGGGAACTTTACTGTAACAAGAGGAAAATTGATCCAATTCATCCCACTATAGCAGATGGAATAAATTTTTTATCATCCCTGTATGAATCCGGCGTCGGGTACAGCGCAATTAATACTGCACGAAGTGCGTTATTCTCTATCCTTCTCCTACCAGGAAATGTCAGTTTTGGTTCTCACCCACTTGCAACACGACTGCTTCAAGGTATATTCGAACTGAGACCATCACTTCCTAAATATCAAGATACCTGGGATATCTCTGTCGTGCTTAAAGTTCTTGAAGAATGGAAACTTGAAGGCAATTCACTTAAGGTTTTGTCACTCAAACTGTCTATGCTGTTCGCAATTACAACAAGTCAGCGGCTTCAGACCCTCAAAGCATTATGCATCAATAAGATGAACTTAAAATCAGACAAGTGCAGTTTTGAAATTGATGTATTGCTGAAAACCTCTCAGCCGGGAAAACATCTGAACAAAGTGGTGATAGCAGCTTATCCGGGTAACAAAAATTTGTGTCCGGTGCAGCACTTGAGGTTCTATTTGGAAAAACATCAACATTGAGAGGTAAACATACCCGATTGTTTGTGAGCTTCGGGAAACCACACAATCCTGTTTCAACCGACACTCTTGCGAGGTGGATTAAAACTGTTATGCACAAAGCTGGAATAAACACAGAGATATATGGTGCCCATAGTACCAGGGCGGCTTCCACTTCAGCAGCGCATAGGAAGCATTTTGATACCAACAAAATCCTTGCTGCCGCAGGGTGGACTAATGAGACCACATTTAGTAAGTTCTACAACAAAACTATTGTAGATATGACAAAGAACTATGGCGAAGACCTATTGTCTGCCATCATGAGTCAAACCTCTTGAACTAACTCAGTAACTGTTTATTTGTAGTTTCTGTTCTACTATGCCACAATTATGGCTGATTTAATATTTTTACTATATCATTCACATTGATTGAGCTTCACTGTTGTGATTTTGCTTCTACGGGTCATGACGCTTTGGAGTCTCACGGGACTCCTTAGCGAAAATAACCATGAAGTAGAATTGAAAGTTAAACGAGACTTACCTGCAAGTTGAAGTTTGACGTAGATTCTACGAAATATTGGTTATTGAGCTAAGGAGTCAACCTTCCCTCCCAGTGTTGAGATATGACCTACATATTGTATTGCACAATCTCCCTCCCAGGTTGTGATGTCATGACCCTTCTGCTTTAAATTGTGATCTAGCTTGCTTCGCGCGCATATCTCACGTGACTCCTTAGCTCAATAACCAATATTTTGTAGAATCTACGTCAAACTTCAACTTACAGGTAAGTCTCGTTTAACTTTCAATTATCTTTGATCTTAAGGTGCCCTTTGTTTAATATAAGTTGGATGATTTCTAACACTTTAGCCAATTGCGGTAATACTGAGATTGGCGGAAATCATTGTCCATGTCATTAGGTGGGTACACGTTGGGCACTGGGGTGACCAATGCATGTTTACAGTATATAGGGTTGGGTATTGACCTGGGAGATGATGGAGCATATGATTTTATGAATAACGGGAGCAAGTTCTTCATTGTAACGTTTCAGTAACCATGAAGGGATCCCATCTGAGCCAGTGGCCTTCCTGGGATTTAGATGTTTAAGGGTCGCCTTAATTTGTCCAATGGAAGGTAACGGGGGACTGGTTCATTCTTAAGTGGGTGTTCAAATTCCCCAACATCCGGAATTTCAGTTGGTGTGGCATTCTGCCAAGGTTTGGTGAAGCTTTGTTGAAGGCGTTTCGCTAGATCTGCTGCAACACCTGCTGGAGGTTGAGCTTTGTATCACTTTGCCGGATTGATTTCTCGTGTACCTTCTGCTTTTAGTTGGTAGTAATTCTCTTTCGCTTTGATACAAGTGAGGTAGCTTTGTCACATAATAGCTTGTACCTTGGTATGTGCCCAGGTGTAAACGCTTTTTGCCTAGCTTTTATTTCATGCTTTATACGCGGTGTCATCCACGGCTTGTCGGAAGGGAGGGGGGGGGGGGGGTACCGTGCGTTTAGGCATGCAGCCATTTATCAAGCATGCGCACTTTGTCGTCAACCTCTCTCACATTATAGACCGTTTAATTTCCCAGTCTTTGGTCTTTTTTTGATAACATAGACTTAAGTGGGCACTTATAATTCCTCTTTAATTTCTGGAAAAAAAGGCACTTTTATTCAACGAAATTAAGAGCACATTTTCTCGTTGCACAAAAAGTGGAGGGGGAGGGAGGCAACTGCCCCCAATCCCCTCGGTTCCGTGGCCTCTGCTAATATGTTGATCAACTTGTTTTATTATGCGTTAATATTTTATTTTATTTTGATGTTGATATTCTTTTTCTTTCTTTCTGCTCACCACAAAAATGTCCCGGACCAATACTCTCATGGCCCGCTATTTTTCCACCCCTGGGTCCCTCATCCACTATTTGCAGATCTATTAATTGTTGATACAGTAAATACTAACCAGTATGTTTTCCAATTTTAGATGTTTGTGAATCAATTTCAAACCATGTATGTATGACAAGGCGTCTGCAATTTGCGAAGCCCATTCCAGAAATTTTACAATCGCAGACGTGGCAACGGCATAGGCAGGATGTATGAAATCGTCGTGAAAAATGACACTGCGGAGATTTTGATGATAAATTGCCATGACCAGTACGATTCTGCTCATTTCTGGTGATGTATGATCTTTCTTAATGGTCGCACCAAAAAACTTGCACACATTTCGGTGCTGCAACTTCCTGAACGGCAATATATAAAGAGAAACAATGTCACTGTCGAACGGTCATAATTATTTTACAGTTGATTTCACATAACTTTTCCCTAACTATTGTGTACTTCGTTCCGAACTTCGTTGTGAAGTTCAAAAGTTCATGCTGAAATTCACAAGCCGGTTTGCAAACAAAAAATAAAGCCTCTGATTGGTCCCGGAACAAATATAAGCCAATCAAATGCATTGTTTACAAACCGGCTTGTAAATTTCAGTATGAACTTTTGAACTTCACCAGGGGCGGAGCGAAGGCTATCCTTTTGGGGGGGTGCAAGACAACATTTTGCCGACAAAAAGGCGTGGCTAGCGCGTGGTTAGGGCGTGGTCAAAACAAACCGTGTTTTTTTAAGTGATGTACAACAATCAACTCCGAGTAGTAAGATAATTTATTTTTAAAATAGGCGAAATAGTTTCTTAAAACATATGATATAATTGTATAAATGTCAAAAAAGAACATCTCTACATATATAGGCGAAACGTTTATGGTACTAATACTTCACAAGTTCGGAACCAAGTACGCAATATTTATGGAAAGTTATGTGAAATCAACTGTATGTAATTACTCCTTGGGCCAGTCGTATAAAAAGCTAGTTAAAGTTAACTACAGTTAGTGCGAAAGTTGACCAATCAAAATCGCATATTTTAGGGCTACCTTTTTTTTAACTTCAAAATAATTGTAAAAAGGTAGTTAAGAGTTTTATACAACCGACCCCAGAATGTTTGACGAGGTCGCTGTAAAACTAAACACCTACAGATAAAGGGACGTAGTTAACGTTATATCATCATTCTAGCCATGTGCGTACGAGGCTAATCCTTCCGGGGGGGGGCAGTTGAGAAGGATTGTAATGAAATAACCTGAATTTAAATAAATCTGCCAGAATAGTCTTGATTATTTTTAGCATTTGCCCGAATTTCCATGGTTCTCTAAAGTTGTTGGGTTTTTTTTGGGGGGGGGGGGCAGTTGCCCACTCTGCTCCCTGACTCGTACGCCTATGATTCCAGTATAACTTACCTTAATTTGGCTTCGTTTTTCAGAAATAATTTGGCATTTCCACTGTCAAAAGGTTGTTTAAAAACCTTAACAGCCACGTTTACTACAGGGCGGCTGTCTTCGAAATTTTCTGCGTCGCCACTGCTTAAGACACCCGAATAAACTGAAGCAAATTCACCTTCTCCAATTAAAGGATCCTCACTCCAATTGAGCTGGCTAGAACTGATCGTTTCAGACCAGATTTGGATACCAAATTTAGACAGCATTTTTTTCAATTCCATACATTTGTTGAATACGGGTAAGTTGGATCGCCATACCTCATCTTTAGATCGCGTCTCATGCATCAATTCCGAAGCCATTCTTCTGTTCGCTTCGAGGATTCTCGGAATTCTGGACACATATTCTTGCAACATTGCATCTGCTAGATGCATCTGTTCCTTAACAAACTCGCGTACTTTTTCTTTAGTTACATAAGCTAAAAACGTCTTGGATTTTTTTGTTAAAAATCCTTCTCGATCTTTTCGATACTCATCAATCTGCATTCTTTCTTCAATACTGCGTCGACCCTTTCTGATAGCAAGCGCCGGAAGTGCTATAATCAAACTCGCAACACCAACTGTGACCCATAGGGGACTTGTAACTCCAATTATAACCTTTGTGCGGATATTAAATCGAAGTACTTTTTTAACTTTCTCAGTAGATTCAGAACTACATTGGGAATGTTGGGTGTGAATTATGTCTTCTATTTCTTTTATCTCAGCTTCAGCGAGACGGAATCTTAAAAATAATAAAAATGGCTTTAATATCATTTTCAAGTTATATAATGAAATACAATAGCTTTCTTATGTTAATTAAGGTAAAAATTCAGTAATTCATTAATTACCTACAGTAAACTTTCCAAAGTGCAATACGATACGGTACAATACAATTTATCTCCGCACAGCACAGTGCAGTGCAGTGCAGTGCAGTGCAGTGCAGTGCAGTGCAGTGCAGTGCAGTGCAGCGCAGCGCGACGCAGCGCAACGCAACGCAACGCAACACAACACAACACAATACAATAAAACAGAACGCAACACAATCCAGTACAGTACAGTACAGTGCAGTACAGTACAGTACAGTACAGTACAGTACAGTACAGTACAGTACAGTACAGTACAGTACAGTACAGTACAGTACAGTACAGTACAGTACAGTACAGTACAGTGAAAATGCCAATACTACTACCGATACAATACATTGCAATGTGATGCAAGTTAAAATTCAGACCTTGATTGAAAACATTGGACAAGTTCGTCGTGTACTTTGGCGTGGACACCATTCCTCTCTTCCCATTTTGTCAAAAATTTCTCAAATCTATCCTCCAATGCTTTTTGAATTTTAGTCTTCGTCAGTTTCCACAACTCTTCAGCGGCCGGGATTTCGTCACTTTCCCATGTTGTAAATTTTCTTTCGAATTCCGAGGATCGAAGGTAATCAACAAGCGCATCGACAATATTTTCCGTTTCATCCACAAACTTTCTTTTCAGTTCATCTATTTCCTGTTGACGTGCTTCCTGAAGCATCAATATCTTCCTATGAAGTGCATTCATTCGCTGGATAAGGCTGTCACGATCTTCTAACATAGATTTGTTGAATCCATTAATCCTGAAAAGTATACGATCCAAAACTATGTTCACCCATCTAAAACGATAAAATGTGTTGCATTCACAAAATAACCCCCACAGTCCATAGAAGGTAAATAATTTAAATATTGTGTTAATGTCCCGGCACGATGGTACGACATTCCATGTTCTACTCTTTTCGATATTGCAGTTTAGGTAAAGCGTACAGTCATGACCAATTGTTGTGAAACGACGGATGCATTCAATTTCAGAGTTTTTATCTCTGAACCAAAAAATCCCCTTATCGCCTCATGAATGTTGAATTTTTTACTATTTTATTTGAACTGGACATGACACGATGATAACGCATTCACAGTCACGTCATCATTGAAATGAATTAAGGTGAAGAGGGGAGGGGGGAATTTTTACACGGAATATGGGGACAAGATGAAGTACTTGCGCACACAATTATATTATTGCCGCGCGTTCTGCAAACTACTGGCCACGATTGTAAGTTCCACGGGTGATTTTTTTCGCGCAGGCAACGCAAAGGTTCTACAGAGGGCTTTTATTGCCATGGTTGTACAGGGCGCTTAAATTTTCGGAAAACTGACTTAACACCCCCCCCTCCCCCCTCCCTTCGCCAACATTTTCAGGAAAAAATATTGCACGAAATTGCACAGGGCGTATATCAAAATTTAAGTTAAACAATACTGAATGCAATGCACGTATATATATATATATATATATATATATATATATATATATATATATATATATATATATATATATATATATATATATATATATATATATATATATATATATATATATATTATTATTAATGGTTTATTATAAAAATCGTCGCGCTCGATGAAAGCGAATTGCGAAATTATTTACAAACTTTAGTTAAAAGTATTAAAAAGTACCTTGTGTTACTGGCATTATATTACAACAATAGTTTACTGATCTATGAATTAATATCGAAAGAACTTTTACATTTACAAAATTTACAAAATTTATAAATTATGTGATTGAATACACATAGTAGGAAAAAAGCTTTTCTTAAAGCGCTCCGTCTTACAAGGAAACAGTGTTAATCTATTTCCGTACCTTAAATTACGATTGTGTCCATTGGCCCGAGAAGGTGGTATTAAATGATTAAGGCGTGAATCAGGCTGTCTGATTTTGTCAAACGTTTTTATACACAAACCATCACGTCTTGCGCGTAATGTCGAACATTTAGCTTGGTCCAGAGCAGCGTCATAGCTTAATGTGGGGTAGATTATTCGCATTGTGCGCTTCTGGACCCGTTCAATTTTATCTGACAAGTTAATGGTCAATGATGAATGCCATACCGGATAGCAGTACTCAAGCAGGGATCTAATAAGTGCAAAATGTACTCGTAGTAAATGAAACGGTGAAACTCCACTGCGCTTGAGAACTCGTAAGATGTGTAGTCTTTTTTATGCTTTGGTTACTATCTCACTGATATGCAAATCCCACTTCAGATTATTCTGGATCGTTAAACCTAATACTTTGTGGGTTCTATTCTTTCAAGACTAATGGTTTCAACAGCTAAGGTGGGTGGTGGCTGCTCAATATCTCGTCGAAAGGAGACAATCATCTCTTTACACTTTTGGGGGTTCAATTTCATATTATTGGTACTTGTCCAATTACCAATTGCGTCCAATTCGTTTTGTAGTATAGATACCTCCCTTGTTGGAACAATCTCAGATATCGTCACGTCGTCTACGTACTTCCAATTACTGGAACGCGGGGATACTATTTTCAAATCATTAATCATTATGACAAAAAGGATTGGACCCAATTTGGTACCCTGTGGGACCCCAGCACTAGTTGAAAGCCATCGGGACACGCACTGTCCCAGCTTAACACACTGGCGGCGATTTGAAAGGAAGCTACAAATCCAAGGGATTATTGAACGGCGCACTCCCAAATCGATCAATTTTGTTATAACAATATTGTGGTCTATTCTATCGAAAGCTTTGCTAAAGTCCAGAAAGCAAGCTCTAAGGTAATGACCTGGGTTGTCCATTTTAGAAAGCCAGTTGTGGATAAGATCTAGAAGGCAAAGGGTGGTAGATGTTCCCTTCAGGCTGCCATACTGACGATTATCGATTTGTCCACCTATGTCCTCAACCATCCAATTAACCACAAAGTCTTCGAGTACTTTCGATAACACAGGGGTAAGTGCGATGGGGCGGGTATCGCTCTCAACCTGGGTTTGTTTCGCTTTAGGAATGGGTATGATGGTAGAATCTTTCCATAAAACAGGTACTAGTCCAGAGGACAAAGATGTATTAAATATTGATGTAACTGGCTCAGCAAGTTCGTAGGCGAACTCTTTTAAAATTCGTGATGGAATACTGTCCGGGCCCATAGCCTTATTAGTCTGAAGTTTTAAGAGCTTACTACAAACCTCATGAGGATGAATTGTAGGAGGCGGCACCGCAGCTGGTAAGAATGTTGGAAGGCTTGAAATATCAAGTGGTGGGATATCACTTGCTACACTTACGAAATAATCATTTAGAGACTCTGCCAGTTCACCTTCCGATAATAACTGTCCGTCACGCTCAATTGTAAACTGAGGTTGACTTTTCGCTCTACCTGACATTGTGTTAATAGTGTGCCACCATTGACGGACATCGTCTTTTCGCAAGTTATGGATTTTTTGGGTATAGAAATTATTTTTCCTGGTTTTAATCTCTATCTGGACCTTCCGTCTGTAATGGCGCCACAATTGCGCGTCGCCAGTGTGGAAAGCACGTTGGCGTTCTTTAATAAGTTGCTTTATGTGCCCAGTAATCCATGGTTTGTCCGTGGGATGAAATTTGATTGTGTTCACTGGAAAAAATGATCGAATGCAGTGTTCAGATCATTGGTAAAAGATGACGCTAACTCATCCGACGATGGATTGAGTCCGAGTCCACTAAACCATTTATTCCTGGTTGACCATAAACCAAAACCATTCAGACCTGACTGAGGATACCGACGCACAGTGCGCTTTGTACACGTATTATTATTATCCTTAAAAATGTCTTTTGGGATCCACATGATTACGTTATGGTCCGATGTTCCAAGTGGAGCAGAAATATCCGGTGTTTTGTAAAAGGATTTCAAGTTCGTAATAATATAGTCTAAGATTGAATCTTGTCTAGTCGGACGCGTGACGACTTGCTTAAGGTTGTGACTTGTAACTAAATCCTGTATATTGAGACGACTAAAATCGCCTAAAAAGACTATGCCACAATCAGGGTATTTAGAGCGTATAGTATCAATAGAGGACACAAGGTAATCGCAGAGTTCCCTCTGTTCTTGCACACTTTTGTCCGGTGGATTATACACTACACATACTGCAATTGCAGATAGCGGTCTCGGTAGGCGTGGTGGTCGAGCCCACAACCACATACACTCTAGATTTAAATCTTCTAATTCCAAGTATCGCGTAATGGATATATGCTGAGACACATAAACGCAAACCCCACCCCCACGGCCATGTGTCCGGTCCTTACGATGAATTACATAACCACCAATCGATATTTGATCGTCCCCTATCTCATCAGTCAACCAAGACTCCGTAATTGCGGCTATATGAACTTTGTTGACGGACATAAATGCTGCAAGTTCATCAACCTTTCCATTAATTGAGCGTGCGTTCAAGCAGCAAATTCTCGAGAGTATAGCTTTATTTTGTTTTTTGTTTTTTTCATTATAATTATTTGTGCATCTAATACGGGTTAGATTGTTATAATTGACACCTCGCGTTTCTGTACGCCTTCTTTGCCTCACACGGCAACCAGTTGTTAGCAAACTGACAGAACGGATTTTCTATAATCAAATATCTGAGTATTTAGAAAAAGAAAGCATTCTATCCGAATATCTGTGTGGTTTTAGGTTCTGCCATTCCAAGACTACTACTTCAATAGATTGTACGAATGAATGGTATGTCAATATGGACCGCGGACACTATAATTTAGTTGCTTTTCTTGATGTAAAGAAAGCGTTTGATACCGTAAATCATGACATCCTTTTAAAAAAACTAGCTTGAAAAGTAGGATCATGGAGAATCGGCGCTTGCGCTACTGCGTAATTATTTGACAAACCGAACTAAAAAATGCAATCTCCAAGGAATGCTTTCAAAACAAAAAGATAACTTGCGGCATTCCTCATGGAAGTACACTTGGCCCTCTTCTCTTTATTATATGCGTAAACGATTGGCCAAATGGGGAAAGCATATTGAATCCATCGCTAGTAAAATATCACCAGGAATTGGCGCTGTAAAAAATCTAAGGAATTTGTTGACCGGAACACTTTAGTATTGATATATAATGCTCTAATCCAGCCGCACCTCGATTACTGTTGCAAAGTTTGGGACGTAATAGGTAAAACGCTTAGTGATCGTCTTCAAAAACTGCAAAATACGGCGGCTAGAATAATTATGAATTTCAAAAATGAGTCTGGACAATCCTTATTGTCTCGCAATTCACTTGGTTGGATAACCGTTGAAGAACGCAGAGCTCAAATGAAAGCCAGACTTATGTACAAATCGATCAATAAATTAGCTCCCCAAAGACTGAGTAACTTTTTTCAAAATTCAAGTACAATGTATGATTATGATTTGAGAGGGTCATCAAATAGGCTTTACCCCCCCAAGCCTGGAACAGAATATCTAAAAAAATGTTTCAGTTACAATGGGGCTCATGTCTGGAATCAAATTCCGGAAGACATAAGAACTTCGGCATCTTATATTTCGTTTTGTGAAAAACTTTATTCCTCGACCTTTTCATTTAGTAATAATCATGCTTAAAGTATAGTAGTAATTTCTTACATTTCTTTATTAATTTATAGTACAATCATGGAAATTAATTCGTAGACTTTTCAAAAATTTCTCAATTTCCGCCCTCCCCGTTTACAATGTTGGTTTGAGGTCCAATAACCATGGTTTGAACCAACATTGTGGTAGGGGAGGGGGGGGAGTTACTATTTCTAGCGATCATGGACGTTTGTATTAACTAAAAATAAAATGGCTTTACAAAATAGTAAGACAAGATGCGTTTTAAAAAAGTCTACGGATATTATTTCCATGATTGTCTAAATTTAAAGACAAAAATTGCGGGGGGATATTTGGAGACGCGGTGTATAAATCTTCATTAAAGCTCTAAAGCATGGCAGATTCTACATGTTATATTGAATATTTATGAGTTTACTTGATAAGAGTTCATGGTATTACAGAGATATAATCAACAAACTTACATCATACACAGTCCGCTTTTACTTCAACGGGAAATCTCTTCAAATAATATAATAGTTCGTTAGGTAATAAAGACTTTTTCAAGCATATACCCAAGGTTTTAACGAAAGATTTAATAAATGATCCACTGCTCCATACAATTAGCCTGTATTTACAAAACGTAATTCTGCGTAATGACTGATGTATATAATATTTGAAAGTTAATAATTAAAAGTTAATAACTAACGCATTGTCGTATATATTATGAAGGAGATTCAAATTTTTTTCCGTCAACCGAAATGTTGGAGGTAATCGACCTAACTGATTGCAGTGACTATTTCACTAACCTCTATAGTCTATATATTACATATAGGACAAGTTACTGCATGTTACTACATGTTACTGTTCATGTTACTATAAGTGTACTACATTTTTATCATATAATTCTTTAAATAAATTATTCGTATGTTACCACGTGTTACTGTACATGCTACTGCACATGTTACAATCAATTTATTATATTTTACTACATAATTTCAATAAGTTACTACATGTTACTGCTGTTTTCTATAAAAATGGAAGCATGTACTTTATATAAAAAACAGCAGTAACATGTAGTAACATGTTGAAATTTTCAACATGTTGCTATATGTTACTGTTGTGCATTATATAAAGTATGCATACTTTAATAATTATAAAAAAAACATCAGTAACTTGTTCAAATTGTATAGTAAAATATAATAAATACATAGTAACATGTGCAGTAACATGTACAGTAACATGTGGTAACATGTGCAGTCCCTATTTAAAATTTGTTTATATCATATCTCACACTCTTCCTTCTATGATAATTATAACGATTTACTGTTACAACGAAATAAGCACTACTCTGTTACACAAGGGTTACCGAACGGGGTATGTTGGAGTGTGACACCCCCTACCCCCCCCCCCACTTCTTAGAAATCTTGTCGGCAAAATGGAGATTATGTAGGAAAAACCGTGACCTGTTGGCAAATTAGTTGGTAAAATAGAGTTGGTTGGTAAGGCGAAGAGGCTGTAGAGGAACACCCCCACCTCCCTCGATCCCCCTTTGGGTCGCTGTATATGGTCTCTGTACGTCACTGCTGTTACAGTTGACATCAACAAATGGGCAGTATTACACTTTCCATAATAAGATATATTCATAGAAAAATTGCATGTCTTGTTATGCAGATTATTATTACCACACAAACTTCAACCGCCTAAATGCAATGAAATTTTGGATATAATTTAGCTGTAGCAGCAACGATATTATAAATAAATTGATACGGTTAGATGTATATGTAAACTTCAAATATATTTCAAGGAACTCGAAGGCAAACTTTATGTCATAACTTACTTAACATATTGAAATGGTCAAAATTAAATACTTTGAGGTATCCCGTCGCTAAACGGTTTGCCCACACCCCCCTGATGCTCCCCCCGGCAACAAAATACACAGCAACCTTGCACAAGGTAAATAAAGTAATTTCAGTCAAAAAGAGAATCAGGTTTTATAATATAGCAACCTTTGTTCTGGGTCGAAAATGACTAAGTGCCATACTTTTATAGACAATCATGGAAATTAATTCGTAGACTTTTCAAAAATTTCTCAATTTCCACCCTCCCCGTTTACAATGTTGGTTTGAGGTCCAATAACCATGGTTTGAACCAACATTGTGGTAGGGGAGGGGGGAGTTACTATTTCTAGCGATCATGGACGTTTGTATTAACTAAAAATAAAATGGCTTTACAAAATAGTAAGACAAGATGCGTTTTAAAAAAGTCTACGGATATTATTTTCATGATTGTACTTATTAGTGAACAAATTCATATGTTACATCATGGGTAATTAATGGGGGGGGGGGGGATTTATTCTATCATAGTAGTACACACCTCTTTTGGAAACCAGCATTAATATTGTTGAAAAGATTAGCGTGTTCTTAAATAAATGAACCGACCTTTGACACCCGGATATTTATACCCGAAAATTTGTGCCCGCCTCCCCGGAGAAAAAAGGGTTGTTCGATTTGACAAACTCGTGGTCGAGGAATTTTCAGAACTGCTGCTGTTTGTATGATAGTTTCTTTTGTGATTACGTTGAGGATAACTAATATAAAATAAGTATATTTGGGGACAAAAGCTTCAAGTACATTATTGCTGATTTTGAACGGTAAAAAAATTACTTATTTTGTAATATACAGCGACGTAATTGCATGGAAATAGTTATGTTTTATTTTCTTGTATTTATATCGCTAATTTTAGTTGTTTGGCTAAGTACTTTGTTGTCTTGACTAAATGTGCTTTTACTTGGACCTTTCGAGTCATATGTAGTGTGTTTGTAATGTAAAATTATCTATTTTTGTAGCGTAAATTATATAAACCGTATCTTGTGTAGTATCAGTGTGAAAGTACTTCATTTAAGCGTAATATACAGTCCTCCAGAAGGCGCGAGAGGTTGGTCGGTGATTATACTCAGTACGAAACCCCTGCGCGTGAACATTATTGGTCCTTCGAGTCGGATAGATAATTAGCAAGCAGAGACAATGTCGGTATCTCATTCTACAAGATCACACAAAACCAGGGGGGGGACCCTCCAAAATACATGACGAGGATTCCCAAACATGATGAGAATGTACAAGCCGAAATCAACGCAGAAAATTCAAACCCTTTGTTAACAGGGGGTGGAGACCGAACGGGAGTAGCAACCAAAGTAATTAAGAGATGCCGGTTTAGAAGACGAGCTCTAAGGTTTATTATGATTGGAAGATGCTCTGATGCTACCAGACAATTGATGGAACAGGGGGGTAGTAGAGCGACCATCAAGAAAAACCTGGGTGATATCCTGGAAACATTCAAAGAAAGTGGACCCCTTCATACCCAACTTGAGGAACATCTTCAAGATGATGAGCAACTACTAGATGATATGATGACTTTAGCCGACATAAAACTGGAAGTCAATACTATCACTGGATGGTGCAAGAACATCTGGATGAGAGAGCATCAGGATCCAACAATTGTGGTAAGTTTCAAAATAGTTCTCTGCGTAGCAGATCGCCTCCTATCATACAACAGGAAAACGCAGACAAACCAAGATGAGTTCGACAAGCAATATGAGGAAAACCGAGAGACAGACGAACAGCGGTAACAGCAAGCTGCCCAGCTATCGAAATTATCTCGACAGAAGAGAGTGAAAGCAGACCAGCCGCAGGAACAAGCCAATGAAGCCGAAAGGCAATCTGCAGTCACGAGAAAGAAACGTCCCAAGACCTACAACACCTGCTCTTCCTAAAGAAAGAGAGCTCCACGGTACAGAGAAAGCTGCCCTCTATGTAAAGCATCTCGATCAATTAGAGAACTAAAACCAGATGTTGAATGCCGCCGTCATGATCGACAAGAAGAGGAAGATTGGATTCCAAAGAAGATTCAATTCCAGAAGGATCGCAACGTTGAACTAAGAACTGTCTGGAAAGATCCCAGTTAGAGCAGAAGTCCCAGTCTATCATGGTGACCCCTTGTAGTGGCTTTCTTGGAGTGGCCTGTTTAAAGCACTGGTCCATGATACGAGAATGACATCGGAAGCGAAAATGGGATTCCTGCATTCTAAATTGTCGAAAGATTGTGACCAGGCTATTGCTGGCCTATTCCCTGATGATGAGGGATATGATGAGGGATATGCTGAAGCATTGATGTTGTTGCGAGGTCGATATGGTCACCCTACCATGCTGCAAGCTGCACATCTCCAAGCGTTATCTCATTAGCTCCAATAGATATTGTGTCCCAAGAGAATCTGTCCTTAAAGTTCCAATCGTTTGTTGATCGAGCGAGAAGCCACCTTACAGTACTCCGCCGATACTGCAAAGTGGAGTCGCCTTTCGTATCCTCCCTTATCTACGAATTAACCGACAAGTTGCCACAAGACGAAGCAAAGACATGGCGCACCAAGGTTGGCGAGGGGCAAGTTGCGATGACATTAGGGGAATTTAGCACCTGGCTTGGAGCTAGAGGGAGATCCTATTGAAGCGCACTACCACCTAGCAACATTAATCGTGACCATCGACGAAGAGACCGGAGATCTCCGATCTCAATCAAGGAAAAGCTCTCAAGTGTTCAAATTGCAGTGGTAACCACAGGGCAAAGAACTGTGTTCAATTTAAGGAACTGTCTGTCGAAGACCGGTTAAACTTTGCCGAAGAGAAGCGGCTCTGCTTCAGTTGCTTGGAGGAGTCTCACATTTCCCGGAATTGCAAATATAAGATAGAGTGTGGAATATCGGGTTGCAAAGCGAAACATTATACCTTGTTGCATCCGGAACAAAATGCCCATACTACAACCACGAAGACACCCCATTCAGGCATTGCCTTTGGAATTGTTGAAGTGTCTGTAATTGGTACTAGTGGTAACGATGTTAAAGGAAACCTCCTAACCCAAACCTCAAAGCATGGAGTCTTGAATCAATCTGTCAACCCATTGAGACAGGTCCATGGCCAAATATAAAAACGAACTGGAGACATCTGGAGAAACTAGACTTGCGAACTGTTGGTGGTGAAGTCGACATCTTGTTAGGACTTGATAATACAGACTTGCTGGTACCACTAGAAGTCAAGACGGGAAGACCCAAGGAACCTGTTGCAAAGAAAACAAGTCTCGGCTGGACGGCCGTTGGTCCCATTGCGGGATCCGATAGCCGACCTCGTGTGCATCATGTTCCCCGTGCGGATACAGAACCCCTCGACGCTGCGTTCAAAAGGTTTTGGGAAAGCGAATCGTTTGGAACGAAGCCAACGAACGAGCCAATCTACTCAAAAGATGAAAAACGTGCGATAGACTTATTAGAACATGGAACTGTAAAGTTGGAAACTGGTTACCAAGTCCCGTTGCTGTGGAAAGAAAATGAGCCACGATTACAAAATAACCGCCAAGTTGCCCTAAAGCGATTAGAAGGTTTGGAAAGACGTTTCGAGCGAGATCCAGAATACAAAAACGACTATCCCAAAGCTATTGGAAAATACGTGGAGAACGGTTACGCTGTGAAAGTAAATGAAAACGACAATGTAAATGGGCCAGACAAGTGGTATCTGCCGTATCACGGTATCTATAAGAAGTCTGGAACTGAAAAGAAGCTCCGGGTTGTGTTCGATGTTGCAGCCAAATATAATGGAAAATCCCTGAATGACGCACTTTTACCTGGACCAATTCTGCAGAAAGAACTACCTAATGTACTGACGAAATTAAGAGAAGGGGACATAGGATTTGGGGCTGATAGCGAAGCCATGTTTAGCAGAATACGTCCACGCGAAGAAGATGCGACGTACCATCGCTTCATTTGGAGAGAGAAGGACAGTGACAAGGTCGACACCTACCAGATGAACCGTTTAGCCTTTGGTGACACATCATCACCCTGTGAAGCAATCTATATAACCCGTCGCACAGCTGCTAATTTTGGCATAGGAAAGGAAAAAGTTATAAAGTCCATTGAAGAGAATCTGTATGTTGATGATTACCTTGACTCAGCAGAGTCAGAAAAGAGGCAATCCACCGAGGGAAACAAGTGAAGAACGTTCTAGCTGAAGGTGATCTCCATCTCAGGAAATGGATTTCCAATTCCCCAGAAGTGACTGCTGCACTCGGAAATGATCAGGTCGACTCAGAACAAGAAGGAAATGTGGCCAATCTCGCCAATCATGAGCCGGAAACGAAAATTCTCGGAGTGAAATGGAACACGCTCTCGGATGAACTCACCTTCAGTGTGACCCCCATCGAAGATGTGACCTACACCAGAAGAGATCTACTAAGTAAACTGGCAGGACTATTTGACCCTGTCGGATTTTGTTTCTCCTACACGATCAAAGCGAAGATCCTTACCCAGCAGTTGTGTGTTCTTCGACTCGATTGGGATGATGCTATTCCACCTTCTCAGCTGAGCAAATGGAAGGACTGGCTGTCAAAACCACCGGAGGTAGAAAAAATCAAAATACCACTTTGCATACAACCACGAAAAGCAGAGGTGAAAAGCTCCGAACTTCATACGTTCTGTGACGCTTTGGAGGAGGCTTTTTCCGCCGTAGTGTACCTGCGAAGCTTGTATGCGGATGGAAATGTGCTGTGCTCTATGATAATGGCTAAGACGAAAGTGGCCCCCAAGAAAGCGCTGAGTGTTGCTCGACACGAATTGCAAGTCGCTCTTCTGTGTGCACGTTTAGCAACGTACGTTCGTAAGGCTTTAACCCGGCCTATAAATTGTCTCGTTTTCTGGACCGACAGCAAATGCGTCATTGGCTGGGTGCGTTGCACAGCCGTATGGTACAAACTCTTCGTGGCCCACCGCATTGGTGAGTTCCAAACCTTGACTGACTTGAAGTCCTGGTGCCATGTACCAGGTCGGTTGAACGTGAGCGACTACGCCACTCGATCAGGATTTGACGGTAAGACAGAGATTATCCCCGAAAGGTGGTTCACAGGACCAGCTTTTCTTTACCAGAGTGAAGACCACTGGCCATAGAAACTCCGATTGAAGAAACACACGAACCAGCAGAGATGAAACCAAGCAAAGTGCTCGTCGCAAACTCGAAGAAAGACTCCACCGATCTTCCAGCCAACATTAATTTGGCGCGGTGCTCAACCTTCTGGAAAACCCAACGAGTGATGGCGCAAGTTCAACGGTTTGTCGCCTTGTGTAAAGGTACCGAGTCTCCTAGTGCAGTCATGACGGTTGAATCACTGGAAAAGAGCAAATGTGTTGATCGACGTTCGAAACTGCTTTTATTCACGCCGTATTTAGATAAGAACAATGGAATTCGCGTTGGCGGACGACTAGATCGAACCAAACTACCCTACAAAGTACGACACCCGATTATCTTACCGCAGAAGCATCGTTTAACTGAGTTGATTGTCAATTGTTACCATCGCCTTGAGAACCATGGAGGTGTAGATCATGTACTTGCTGCCATCCGCAATAAATTCTGGATAATCCATGGACGACAAGAGGTGAAACAGTTCAAACAAAGATGCGAAAAGTGCTAGCGAGAAGGAGCCAAGGCGGGCCTTCAGCTATTGAGTGAACTCCCGACCGAAAGAATGACGCCCATGAAACCGGCGTTCTACCACGAGTCTGTAGACTACTTTGGCCCAATTACGGTTCGACTGATTCGCAACACTACGGCGAAGAGATACGGCGCTCTATTCACTTGTATGACCACTCGATGCGTCCATCTCGAAGTTGCAGAATCTCTATCAGCACCTGATTTCCTACAAGCCCTCCATAAAATGATGGCCAGACGCGGGCAGCCACGTTCCATCTACAGCGACAATGGTACAAACTTTGTTGGCGCAGAGTGCGAGCTGAAGTCCATGGTGAAGAAATTGAATGAAAGTGAAGATCTTTAAAACCGCTTGACGAGGATTGGAGAAGGAATTTGTTAGAAGTTTCAACCCCCGGCGAGTCCTCACTGGGGAGGAGTTCATTAAAGTTTGGTAAAGTCCGCCAAAAGAGCCTTGTATCGTACGATAAATCCGAACGAGAAGACGAAGCGATCCAATCCGACAGATTTGCAATTGTCCGCCTTGTTTGCAGAAGTTGAAAGATTTGTCAACTCTAGACCAATTACGTATGTAAGCAGCGACCTGAAAGATATCGAAGCCCTGACACCGTACCATATCTGGCTGAATCGACGTTCACCGGTCATTCCTCTCGGAGATCACAGTCGGCCGAATTTTCAAGATCGTTTTTGACAGACGCAACATCTCGCGAATCTTGTGTGGCAGCAGTGGGTAAAACTATATCTACCTGTTGACTCGTAAGAAGTGGAAGACTGAAGAACGAAACTTATCGGTCAATGATGTAGTTATTGTTTTCGAACCTAATCTCAAGCCTGGTGAATGGAAGTTAGGTAGAATTCTCGAAGTTTTCCCAGGAAACGATGGGCATGTGAGAGCTGCAAAGATCAAGACGAGCCAAGGTGTTTGTACCAGACCGATCACGAAACTTTGTGTCCTTGAAGAAAGCAAGAAAATGGATGATCGTCGTTCCCAACCGGATAGAGACGAACGATGGTGAGGAGTGATGGACCGGCCTTTGACACCCGGAGATTTATACCCGAAGATTTGTGGCCGCCTACCCGGAAGAAAAAGGGTTGTTCGACTTGACAAACTCGTGGTCGAGGAATTTTCAGAACTGCGGCTGTTTGTATGATAGTTTCTTTTGTGATTACGTTGAGGATAACTAATATAAAATAAGTATATTTGGGGACAAATGCTTCAAGTACATTATTGCTGATCTGAAACGGTAAAAAACTTGCTTATTTTGAAATATACCGCGACGTAATTGCATGGGAATTGTTATGTTTTATTTTCTTGTATTTATATCGCTAATTTTAGTTGTAAAAACTAAATCGTAATATACAGTCCCTCAGAAGACGCGAGAGGTTGGTCGGTGATTATACTCAGTACGAAACCCCGCGCGTCAACAATAAAGTTGACCCACCATAAACGCACGCGACTCGTTTTCTATTTCTTCTAATTAGTAAGTAGAAGGTATTACATAGTAAACAATTTTGCTCAAAAGATCGACATTGAAATTCTCCTAACATGTACTTAGTGACGTCAGGCGTGTGCTTTTAGTGTCGCTTGAATTTTTAAGCGATCGGAGGAGCAAAAATAACACTAACTTGCGGCAATCGAAAGATCTCCGAATATAAATCAATATTAATGTAAAAAATTAAAATGATGTAATCAGTATTTTCATCATAAAAATATAAGCTTAAATTAAAGGCATGTGAAAGAGCCGTTATGAAATTTTTAGTTAAAGGCATACGAAAGAGCCGTTGGTTGATGACATTTTGTAGTTAATTAAAGAAAACTCCCAGCAATCTTCAAGAAAGCAAAAGGTAAGTTAATTAAATTTTTCTATTTCTTGCAGTTAGTGTATAAATTGACGAGCGTATCAATACATTGCTGTGAAATATGCATGAACATGTCAAATGTATCCCATGTCAATCATTTTATACCGCCTCGTGTACACAGATCACGGATGGATGCTTTTTGTGTCGCGCAAACTTTAAATATTACTTTTTTAACTTTCTAGATGGAACAAATTAAAACTCCGAATTCAATCATGGCGTCTTGGTTTATTTTAAATTTATACAACTACATGATGATATACAGCTTAATTTATGCTTCATGGCAGCGCTGACTATAAAATGTTGTTTAACATAAACTGTTTATATTAAATGTGATTAAACTCAATAAAACTGTATAACTTAAATTAAAGGTTTATTTGTCTAACTTTACCAAAAAAACAATGCAGATCAGAAACAAATGCTGTATGTCGATCTGTATTCAATAATGGCACATTGGCATGTATAGGCCTACAACTGATGATTCTTAAACTGTATTGATTTGATTTGATTTGATAACTTTGTTGCATGCATGCATGCATTCAAATAATTTTACATTGATGTATCTATATAAGACTAAATACAAATATTCAGGTAATTATTTAGAGCAACTGGTGGCCAAACAGGGCATTGCCCCAATTGAACATAACTATACCAATATAAAACCTACATGTATATAAAGTTATATTCAAATTCTATGCATTTATTACTACAGACTAAAGAACAATAGTTCATACAAACTATTTATGTGGAAGTTCCTAAGAATTAAGTTCACTATAAAATTTCTGATAAAGTTTTGACTTAAAAATATCAATGCTGTCAATTGTTTTAATATCACTATCTAATGAATTCCAATTTTCTTACAACTCGAGGAAAATAGGAGTTTTTAAAATATTGAGTTTTACATTTAAAATCACAGGAGGCCCAGGCTCGATTTGCCCGCGCCCTCCTGTGCTTTCTTATAACGAGGGAAGGAAGGAAACATTGAGACCGAAATATAATAAAGGATAGTACACATTTTTTGCAACGTTTGGAAGACTTAGGTCATATCACGTCGACTGCGATTTTGTGCACTATGGATGTAGTGGGATTATATCCTCAGATACCACACAGCGAAGGTCTTGAGGCTCTCAGATTAGCAATGAATAAGGCAGAAAAGGACTTGCCGGTCGATGATTTAATCTCACTTGCCAAATTGGTTTTGGAAAATAATTTTTTTGAATTTGATGAAAATATGTTTCAACAAAAATTGGGAACGGCTATTGGGACAAAAATTGCGCCAGGTTTTGCAAATTTATTTATGGGGTATTTCGAGGAACGTTTTTTAGATTCTTGCGAGCTTAAACTTTGGGTTTGGTGGCGTTTTTTGGACGATGTTTTCATGATATGGCTTCACGGGGAGGAGGAATTAAACAATTTCCTCAGTAAGTTGAACTCATTTCATGAGAATATTGAGTTTACTTGGGAAATTAGTCGACAGGAAATTGCTTTTCTTGATGTGTGGATTAATAAAGTTAATGGTGCGTTCCATACTAATGTGTATTCTAAGCCTACTGATGCACATCAGTACTTGAATTTTAAATCTTGTCACCCACCACATGTTAAGAGAGCGATTCCCTATAGTCAAGGTTTGCGCTTAAAGCGAATTTGTAACTCGGAAAATGCTTTTGAGGAAAAACTAAGCGAGCTAAAAGGTTTTTTGGTCAAGAGGGGCTATAATTCGGATTTTGTTGATGACCAGTTTGGTAGAGTGAGAAAAGTCGACAGGAATAATTTGTTAATGCGGAAAGAAGGTGTTAAGAATAGTAATAGGAATTGTTTTGTGATAGATTATCATCCAGCATTGAGGGTCCTTTACAATATCTTTAGGGAATTGCAAGTAATTGTAAGTTGGTCTGAAAGGTTTTTAAGTATTATGCCGGAACCACCAATGGTGTGTTTTCGTCGGTCTAAAAACCTTAAAGATCACTTAGTCCGTTCTAAATTGAGAAGGGAAGAGGAAACGGTCGTAGGGATGTTTAAGTGCGGAAAGAAGAAATGTAAAATCTGTGACAATGTCATTATTGGTGCTACTTTTAAAAGCCATGTTGAGGGGCGGTCTTTCTGCATTAATCATCGCTTCGATTGTGACTCGGAGGGTATAGTGTATTTGATTAGTTGTAAATTCTGTGGGTTGCAATATGTAGGGAATACCATAACACCGTTCAGATTGCGATTTAATAACCACAAGAGTGCATTAAATAGATATGGGCGGGGGCAGAGAAATATTTGTGGGCAACAATTGTATGCCCATTTTTGTGGGGAGGGACATTCAGGTCTAAGTGATTTTTTAGTGCAGGTTATTGACGTCACGGACGTTAATAACCCCACTGAGAGGGAGAGTTTTTGGATTGAGAAACTAAATAGTTATGTCCCACGTGGGCTTAATTTAAGGGAAGAGGTTTAATTAATTTATGTATAGCTAAACGTTAGACTATTTAAGCAAGAGACGGAGATGATGTAGCGTTATTCTGAAGAAGGGGCTTGTCCCCGAAACGTAAAAAATATAATTTAATTACTTTGAAGTTTTTGATTTCTTGATATTTTTATATATATATATATATATATATATATATATATATATATATATATATATATATATATATATATATATATATATATATATATATATATATACAATTGCTTATATATATATATTCAATTGCTCATTCCGCCATTTTGTTATAATTATTCCATTGCGAACAGATTGAGTGTCTGAAATTCAGAGTCTCTTTTTGTGCTCATTCCGCCATTTTGTTATAATTATTCCATTGCGAACAATTTGGGTGTCTGAAATTCGGAGTCCATTTTTGTGCTCATTCCGCCATTTTTTTATAATTATTCCATTGCGAACAATTTGGGTGTCTGAAATTCGGAGTCCATTTTTGTACTCATTCCGCCATTTTGTTATAATTATTCTATTGCGAACAAAATGGGTGTCTGAAATTCGGAGTCCATTTTTGTGCTCATTCCGCCATTTTTTTATAATTATTCCATTGCGAACAATTTGGGTGTCTGAAATTCGGAGTCCATTTTTGTACTCATTCCGCCATTTTGTTATAATTATTCCATTGCGAACAAAATGGGTGTCTGAAATTCGGAGTCCATTTTTGTGCTCATTCCGCCATTTTGTTATAATTATTCCATTGCGAACAATTTGGGTGTCTGAAATTCGGAGTCTCTTTTTGTGCTCATTCCGCCATTTTGTTATAATTATTCTATTGCGAACAAAATGGGTGTCTGAAAATCGGAGTCCATTTTTGTACTCATTCCGCCATTTTGTTATAATTATTCCATTGCGAACAGATTGAGTGTCTGAAATTCAGAGTCTCTTTTTGTGCTCATTCCGCCATTTTGTTATAATTATTCTATTGCGAACAAAATGGGTGTCTGAAATTCGGAGTCCATTTTTGTACTCATTCCGCCATTTTGTTATAATTATTCCATTGCGAACAGATTGAGTGTCTGAAATTCGGAGTCCATTTTTGTACTCATTCCGCCATTTTGTTCTAATTATTCCATTGCGAACAAAATGGGTGTCTGAAATTCGGAGTCCATTTTTGTACTCATTCCGCCATTTAGTTATAATTATTCCATTGCGAACAAATTGGGTGTCTGAAATTCGGAGTCCATTTTTGTGCTCATTCTGCCATTTTGCTATATTCCACTGCAAACAAAATAGGTATCTGAAATTTGTATCTTATTTACTTGCTGTTACTTTTACTATATATTCACTATACAGTATTTTTTGAAGACAGTAAAAATCTATTTTATAAATAAGGGATTTTGAGGAAATCTTAAAGGTAAACATAAAATTCTGTGATTTTTGAGGAGGGAAATTAACCTTTCCTCCGAATTTATAAATATTAATTGATTTTAAGTTGGAAATATATAAAGTTTGCAAAAATGTACAAAACTACTACTAAAAGCAGCAGTAAATTTCTATTCCGCAAAATTGAAATAAATTATTTTTACACATTTTTACCAAAAACGAATTTTTCTTGCAATTTTAGAGAAAAATTATAGTGATTTAATGTATTTGGTTAAATTGTGCAGAAAAATTAGTCAAATTCTGCAAAATTAAGGATATTTTGTGTGAATTTGGTAGTTTGGAATTATTGAA